AGTGCGTCGAAACATGCCACTCTTCATACAGTCGTGGCTGCGATATGAACAGGGTGGTGCGACAAAGGCCCTAGACCGTCATTTATCAGAGCCCCATCACAAAAAGGTACCATCTTTTGTCGGAGCCACGACATTACCATGACGTTACCATGAGAAAAATAAATGGGAGTATTGTAGTGTAACAGGGAACGCGGGTAGTCGCTACCCGAATACTGCATCTATCCGTTGTCGCAGCAGGGCCGGCCGATGACACACACTCCGCACATCATCTCTTAGATTATTCCACCGCACTACAAGGACAAGGGCTCTGCTGACAGTTGTACAGTTGTGCTTGGATTCGAGACCAAGCACACCAGTGAGACAAACACTTGGCGGAAACGAAAGGGGTAGTCCGTGAACAAAAGAGGCGCCGGCAGAGAGCTCCAAACGTCACGCTTCGTTCGCTCCAAGCCCACAACAACGATCATCATCTCTGCGCAGAGACGATCATGGTTCCTGTGCGCTTGGAGTGAACGAGGCGTGACGTCAGGAGCTCTCTGCCGGCGCTCAGTTCACGTGCGTCCCCTTTCGTTTCCGCCACATCTTTCTCTCTGGCCTCGAATCCAAGTACAGCAGAGGTGATTAGTGCTGGTCCCTGTTTAGGGCCGGTATGTGCCAACAAAATTCTTCACCAGCACCATTCAAAGTATTGAGAATGACTTGGAATATCAGTCAGTGTGTCCGCCGAAAACACCGCATGGCACAATAATATTTGGTCCTTGTCGCTGCTGGTGCGTTGGAAAGACCTGAGAGATTACCAGAGTGCGGGAATTTCGTCCGGCCTGCTGCAATATTCCAGAACGGTTCGGTTCAAATACTGGCCGGCCACTGGGTGCCATGCTGGTTCCATGTGCGAGTGTAAATGTAGCCGAGGACTGGCCTGAAGACTGTGCTCGAAATAATTGTTGTCTGTGCCTTGCAGTACCAAAAGGGGAGGGTGAATGTTTTGGCCAACGGTTCTTGAATGTGGAGCGGCAACAAGAGAAACGACCATAGCCCCAACGACGATAACAGCGACATCAACCACAACAAAACGCCACCGTCATGAATAATCACAACGACTGTCAAATCAACGACAACAACACCACCACCTACAACATGAATACCAACCTTGACAACAAAGCCGTCAACATCGCTACCGAACAAAAAAGCACACAGAGTCATGTAGTAAGTGAACCAAGCGACTTACTGAGCTTGTTGCCTCCGGCCTTGCAGATCTTGACGTAGTTGGCCTTCCCAGCGTCGGAGAAGAGTTTCTCCACATCCTCGATCTTGATCGACGACTCCTTGGGATATCCCTTGGTCTGCGGCAGCATCAGCATCAGCAGCAGCGCGAAAGAGACACAAAAATGATTATGTTGTTGAATACGGCATTTGTTGACGGGACGGCTAACTGGCAAGGGGTCTGAATGATAGTCGATACAGCCGGAAAAAAAAAAAAACGCCCGCGCTACATACGTTCCTCAAACGTTCCTCCTGGGCGTGACCCCGGTTGGTGACAATCAATTACATATCATGGGCTGGCACCCAGAATAAACGGTGCCACGAAAAGGCACACTACTATTAGTATGAAGAAAAAATAATGACAACCGCGCGTCGGTAGCCGTGTAGGCTGCTCCTTCCACGTCTCCGATCGCGGACGCTGAAGCAGTCTTGGAGCTTTTCAGCGACGCTTGGAAAACGAACCGACGGCAATTCATGAATACAACACAGGAAGTACCAACGTCTACTCTTCTGATTCCACTATTTGCCGTGTGTCGCTAGCTTGAAGGCTGCATTCCCAACCCCAGCCTATACAGAGTTACAGTAACAGCAACAGCACCTGCACGGTGCGGGCGATGCGCTCCTTCCCGGCCTCCTCCGTCATGGCCGCAGCACGCCCGATCTGCTTCTTGTCCTCGCTCACGCGAAGAGACGGCGACGCCTCGCCCATCCTCGCAATCTTGGTACGTCGTTTCGTTGCGTTTCGTTTCGTGTGTTTGCAGTGCAGCGGGGAAGCGAGAGTTAAAGAGACCACAGGACAACAGTCGAGTCGGGGGGTACGCGCATGTGAAGGCCGGGTGGGGGGGGGGTCCCGCACAATCTTGGGGGTGTCTTGTGCTTGCAGTGCAGTGGGGAAAGCAACAGTTTGACGTGATATGAGACCAAGATAGGAGTCGAGGCAACTTGGGGGGGGGTGGGGGGGGTACGCGGATAGAAATGGAACTTGATTATTGCAAGAGAAGGCACAGGGTGGTGGATGGCCCCTGCGTGGGGAGACGGAGACATACATACAGTACCGGTGTCAAAGCTCGACTACGTACTCCACTACCAAGAGGATGCATACGTGTAAACGAAACAAAATTGCGTTTTCGGAAAGCTATCTCTCGAATCGACGACACAGACGGCTCCAACGCCGCTGTTTTTGGTACCGCCGCTCTCTCTGCTGCGGAGAAATCGGGCTTTCGAAATCCGTCTAGGGGGTGTGATATCTCACGTAATGTCACCTACGGTAAAACATAGAGCACCTCTCGTCACAACTTCAAAATGTCTGTCCCATAAACAGGGCCGCCAGCGCTGCATTGCTAGTACGACTGCGCAACATTCTTTCATTGTTGGGGAATAAACTAGCGGCGCTGAAAAGGGATTTTTGTACATTTTTTCGGCACACCCTATTTTATTCTTTCAGTGTTATTGGGAAAGACACTGGCGAGGAGAGAGCCTGAAGACTTTTATCTCTGGCAAACACCGGTGTGTCTGCCTGTCTCGTGACGATTACAACTAGAAAGATCGCGCCCGCGCTTAGCAACTTGGCAGTCAAGAAATTGATACTGCCTGAAGAAACTCAAAGTCTGAGACTTTGAGGACCTTGAGGAACATTTGTGAGCCCGTCTAAGAACCACTACGCTACAACCTATATGGTGGCCATCCGTAACACAACCCCCCATGATGAATACGTCCACAGCAGTGCAGAAAGCGCCCGCGCTTAGGAGCTTAGCAGTTAAAGAAATTGATATAGCCTCAAAACAATCAGAATCTAAGAGCTTGAGCACCGTTTG